AGTAGTTGTATTGCTGCAGAGACAAAACCCTACCTCCCTCCCCCCGTCCATTTTTTTCTCTTGACTCTTGTGTGTGTGTGTGTGTGTGTGTGTGTGTGTGTGTGTGTGTGTGTTGTGTAGGTGTGTGTGTGTGTGTGTAGGGTGTGTGTTTGTAATGATGTGTGTGTGTGTGTGTGTGTGAGGGGCGACCTGACAGAGGTGTATAAGTGGAAGGCAGGGCTAAAACAAAGGACATTACAAAGGTACTCAAACCATCCAACCAGGACGAACCTCGTAACAATGGTTTTAAATTAGACAAATTTAGATTTAGGCAAATAGGTAAACACTGGTTTGGAAACAGAGTAGGGATGAATGGAACAAGTTACCAAATATCATCATTAACCTGAATATGCTGAATAGCTTCAAACATAGGTTGATGCTTATATGAGTAATAGGGTTGGGTGTAAACGGGACTGCTCTAGATGGGCCAATAGGCCCGCTGCAGTTTCTCCATTCTATGTTCTATGTGTGTGTGTGTGTGTGTGTAGTGTGTAGGGGTGTGTGTGTATGTAGTGTAGGTGTCTGTGTGTGTTTGTAGTGTGTAGGTGTGTGTGTGTTTGTGTGTGTAGGTGTGTGTGTGTTTGTAGTGTGTAGGTGTGTGTGTGTTTGTAGGTGTTTAGGTGTGTGTATGTTTGTGTGTGTTTGTAGTGTCTAGGTGTGTGTGTAGTTGTAGGTGTGTGTGTTTGTAGGTGTGGTAGGTGTGTGTATGTTGTGTGTGTGTTTGTAGTGTCTAGGTGTGTGTGTGTGTTTGTAGTGTGTGTGTGTGTGTGTATGTGTGTGTGTGTTGGGTTGCTGCATGTAAGGACGTGTTTGTAATGAGTGGATTTGTCTGTATGTCTTGTGTCGCGGTGTTGTGCGTTTGCAGTTATAATAATACTGTTAGATGTATGTGCGTGCTGAAGTGAGCGAGTGAGGTGCGCTGAGAGGGAGCTGCTTCTCGGTGGTTGGGATGACAAACACGTGGCGCGTGCTGAGGGAGTCTTAGTGTTGAGATTACCTAACTGTGTGATGTGATGCGAGATGAGTGAGTGAGGTGTGCTGAAAGTGAGTTCGTGTTTGCATGTTATGGGTGCGTGCTTGCGAGAGTGAGTGAGGCAAGTTGAGAGTTTGAAGTATCACGGCCACGTAAAGGAAAGTTATCTAAGAGTTACTGCGGCATAGTGGCCGTGACGGGGAGTAGTGTGGTGGTCGCTCAACACTAAATCATGAATAGCGTTGTGTCATGGGAGTGCACCGCCGCTGTCACCAGACTACACGTCATGCACACATAGCCGAGGTTTGCTGATTCATAACAGAAATGACAGTAGAGGCATGTTATTGATATATGGATGGCTTGTCGACACGCGAAGTGGTGTTATTGCGACGAAAAGCAAAAGTATTCTTCGATATTCGCCGAAAGATATTTATCGGTGTATCTTGAGGTTTTGTCATAAAATAGCTGAGAGTTTTCAAGGTTTGGAAACGTAAAATATCCTCACTTATTACTGGTAATCTGAGAACAGGCATGGACGGGTAGTAATTAATGGTGGTAGAACATTAAACTGTTATAGATTTGCGGTTGCTGCCACTTAGGTAAAAACGACCATAATAACGCTTACGACTAAACCGGCTTTACTGGGCAAAAGTCTTGTTTGGTTTTTTTCTCTCGTTTTTTCTACCTCACGCGTTGGCTCTCCAGATTGTTGTGTTTTTGTCGCCGTTCCTTTGTCTCCTGGTGGCCGGGATCCAATTAACTGGATCGCCCTTGTTGATCCAGATACAGCGAGGCTACGGCGCACCTCCTGGTCAACACAGGTGCCGGGAGCCATGCAGGTCCTCCTGTCTGGTTGTGGCTGGTCCTCCCTCCTGACCATCCCTGTGCGCTGCTGCTTGTTTCTACTGACCGCCCGATTCTACTCCTGCTTCATTGTCTGCTGACCGTACCTACGTATCTGCTGTTTTTTCTATTGACAGCTTCTTCTTGTCTGTTGCTGATGCTGTTTCTGCTTTTCATGAGTGATCATATCATCAAGCTTGGACAAGAAATATCATATAATAACTGTGGTCTATCGGTGTTTAACATTGGCTGCCACTTATAGCGTGTACTGTGGTAGGTCAACAAAGATCGAATTTAAGAGTTGAGGTATTATTGATAGACTGAGTTACTGTCACCTCACAAACATGAGCTGCATGACTTAGCGTACCGAGAACCCAAATTACTAGAATAACTGTAGTGGGGGAACTTGTTCTTGTATGACATATAGGGCACCTTAAGAACATAAGGAGTCTGCAATAGGCCGGTTGGCCTGTGCATGGCAGCTCCTGTCGAGAGTTACTACCACTCTCTATCACACATGAATCTATCTAGCCTCCTTTTAAAACTTCCCAACGTTCCAGCACTTACTACAAAGTTGCTAAGCTTGTTCCACTCGTCCACCACCCTATTTGTGAACCAGGTCCTTCCTACCTCCCTCCTAAACCTAAACTTATCCAACTTAAATCCGTTGCTACGAGTCCTATCCTGCTCGGATATTATAAGAACTTTATTGATAAAACTAGTGCTCTGTGTATGGGAGAGCTCAGTCTAATTATTCACTTTCTTTATATGAATTCACTATACAATATATATCAGGATGCAATTTTATCACGGATATATAAGATAAGATGAAGGTTAAGTCAATTTCTAGGTGTTGGTTGACTGATGGGAGTGGCAGGTCGGGTGAGCGCCGCCAGGGTTGGTGACCGGCAGAGACTTCAACGCCGCGTCATGAACCTATCTCAACGCTGCACCACCCCTACCTCACCCTCCACCTGCACCACCCCTACCTCACCCTCCACCTGCACCACCCCTATCTCATCCCCCACCTTCCCTTACCTCGCCCTCAACCTGCATCACCCCTTACCTCACACTCCACCTCCCCTTACCTCACACCCCACCTCCCCTTACCTCACACTCCACCTCCCCTTACCTCACCCTCCACCTCCCCTTACCTCACACTCCACCTCCCCTTACCTCACACCCCACCTCTCCTTTTACCTCACCCTCCACCTCCCCTTACCTCACACCCCACCTCCCCTTACCTCACACTCCACCTCCCCTTACCTCGCCCTCCATCTGCATCACCTCACGCTTCAGTCTCTACTGTTGTCCCTTGATGTTGAATTAGATGTTTTAAAGACTATAGTTTAAGGAGTTTGTTTTCAGTGATATATGTCAACAACTCCCACCTTGACTTACAAGTGTAATGAACAGAAAATATTGTGGTGATTATGAACTTTTGTGAAGGATAAGTATTGTTATAGCGTTACCATTATTCATTTGTTTTTGTGTAAAGTTCTGTTAGTTAATTTTATTTCTTCAGGGTTTATGATTCATTTGTCTCTGTCGGTGTCGCCAGAAGCATTGGCAATCAGTAAATGTCTGGCCGAGGACTTCGGTGTGGGAATACAAAACTGTACATGACTCAACTTCGTGTAATTCTTGAGTTAATTCTTTAAGACCCGACGTCATTTTCTAAGACTACACACAAGACATAACTACCTTACAGTCTCTCATAGTAACACAGTATTGGTTTTACTATAATACGTACCTATAGGCCCAATGGGATCGTTCGTTCGTCAAGTGTATGTCGCCTCGATGCGGACACTGAAGTAGCAGTAGGAGGTTGGTGTAGCGAGGAGCTTCTGCTTGTGTTTCCCTTGAGCTCCCGTGGACGACTGAATACACCACGCGCCCTGCCTGCCTCCTCTGCTCTCTTGCCCCGGGAGTGTGAGCTGCTCCACGACTTGCTGGGACGACGCCAACCACAGCCCCCAGGCGTCAACCCCGCCAATAGGTGATGGGGCGCCCCTCCACCACCAGTAGAGGGGGAGATAAGGCGCCTCTTGGCTAACACCGCCAGCAGGCAGTGATGGGATACATAAACGAAATAGATACCGGCATAGACAGCAACATAAGTAAATTTGCTGACGACACTAAAATAGGGCGAGTAATTAAATCTGACGAGGACTCCGCAAAACTACAGGAAGATCTAAAAAAAAATTTTGCATGGTCTTAAAATGGCAGATGAAATTCACTGTGGACAAATGTAAAGTACTTAGTCTTGGAGATGTAAACAGAGAAACCAGATATCAGATGGAAAACGTTGTTAAACAGAAATCGAACTGTGAGAAAGACTTAGGAGTATTGGTAAGTAGGAATCTTAAACCAAGTAAACAATGTGTATTTGCTCGAAACAAGGCTAATAAAGTACTTGGGTTCATACAAAGGAGTGTTAGTACAAGACTAGCGAGGTCATCCTAAAACTATATCTTGCACTTGTGAAACCTCACTTGGATTACGTAGTTCAGTTCTGGTCACCGTACTACAGAATGGATATTGAATCCCTAGAAAGAATTCAGAGGAGAATGACAAGACTAATCAAAGACATTACGAACCTTGAGTACAGAGACAGATTAAAGCATCTTAATTTGCACTCCCTCGAGAGACGTAGAGTGAGAGGCGATATGATAGAGGTGTATAAATGGATGTCAGGGCTAAACAAAGGGGACATTACAAAGGTACTTAAACCATCCAACCAGGAGCGAACGCGTAGCAATGGATAGGGGACGGGTGTAAATGGGACTGCCCAGTATGGGCCAATAGGCCCGCTGCAGTTTCCTCCATTCTTATGCTTTTATGATCATAAAAAAACCATTACTACCACCAGCAGGAGGGAGATGGGACGTCCCTCCACCACCACCAGCAGGAGGGTGATGGGGCGTCCCTCCACCACCACCAGCAGGAGGGTGATGGGGCGTCCCTCCACCACCACCAGCAGGAGGGTGATGGGGCGTCCCTCCACCACCACCAGCAGGAGGGAGATGGGGCGTCCCTCCACCACCACCAGCAGGAGGTGATGGGGCGTCCCTCCACCACCAGCAGGAGGGTGATGGGGCGTCCACTCACCACCACCAACAGGAGGGTGGTGAGGCGTCCTCCACCACCACCACCAGCAAGAGGTGATGGGGCGTCCCTCCACCACCACCAGCAGGTGATGGGCGTCCCTCACACCACCAGCAGGAGAGGGTGATGGGGCGTCCTCCATCCCTCCCACCACCAGCAGGAGGGTGATGGGGCGTCCCTCCACCACCACCAGCAGGAAGGGATGGGGCGTCCCTCACCACCACCAACAGGAGGGTGATGGGGCGTCCTCCACCACCACCAGCAGGAGGGTGATGGGGCGTCCTCCACACACCAGCAAGGAGTGATGGGGCGTCCCTCCACCACCACCAGCAGGAGGGTGATGGGGCGTCCCTCCACCACCACCAGCAGGAGGGTGATGGGGCGTCCCTCCACCACCACCAGCAGGAGGGTTATGGGGCGTCCCTCCACCACCATGAGTTAAAACAGTCAAACGATTTTAGGATTTAAATGAGAATATAAGGGTTTTTTTTTCCCAGTGGACGAGAAATATAATAATTGAACTGCAATTTAATGTCTGCCTTTAATAATGTCCGGCTGTCTATAGTAATTTCTGTCCTTGAGTGTCTTGGTTTGTACTCATGTCAGTCTGTCTGTCTGTCTGTCTGTCTGTTTCCTAATTACAAGATTATAGAACTAACTCATTTGACAGTTTTAAAGCAAATTACACGTCATTCAGTTCTGAATGTTTATATAAACGGGTGATAACCTTGTGTCTTGGTGGTGCCAATGTAGGGAGTCCGTCCGTCCGTCCGTCCGTCCGTCCGTCCGCCCGTCTGTCTGTTCGGCCATTAACTCGTGCTTTAGTCTGACGGAATGTCACGTCAGATGATGATGGGGGCCCATATGTAATAAGGACCCACAGGTAATAAGGGCCCACAGGTGATGAGGGCACATATGTAATAAGGGCCCACAGGTAATAAGGGCCCACGGGTAATAAGGGCCCACAGGTGATAAGGGCCCACAAGTGATAAGGTCCCATATGTAATAAGGGCCCATATGTAATAAGGGCCCACATGTGATAGGGGCCCATATGTAATAAGGGCCCCACTGGTCATAAGGGCCCATATGTAATAAGGGCCCGCAGGTGGTAATGGGGGGCTCACTATTATCAGAAGTTTATACTTATAGGGACCCACCACCACTACCACCATCACCACTACCACCACCACTACCATCATCCCACCACCACCACCATCACCACTACCACCACCACCACTCACCATCATCACCATCACCACTACCACCACCACCATCACCACTACCATCATCCCATTACCACCACCACCACTACCATCATCACCCCATCACCACCACCACCATCACCATCCACCACCACACATCACCACCACCACACAAAAACACCATCACCAACCACCAACACCAATCACCACAATCATGCCACACCATAACCACAACAAACCACCAAAAACAACACCATCATCAACCACCACAACTCACCATCACCAAAACAACAACATTCACCATCACCATCACACCTCACCACCACGCCACCACCAAACTACCACCATCACCACAAACCATCACCATCACACAACCACCATCATCAAACCACCATCACCAATCAAAAACCAAAAACAATCACCACAAAAACTCCAATCACTCATCCAACCACCAATCAACATCACGCTTGGCATTCACCATTCACAACCATCACTAACCCAACACATAAAACAACACTCAATCATCATAAAAACAATGCATCACAAATCATCATTAAACAACACTTATCACACCACACTAATCACCATAACTCAACACCAAGTCACTATCAACACCATCACCAGCAAAACCATCACCACCTACCACCATCACAATCAAAAAACCACACACCACCAACAAACCACACACACAACACACAAACCACAACCACCAACACCTTACACGCTTTAAAAAGAGAAGAGTTAAGGTCCGAAACAGTTATAAAAGAAGATCAAAACAAACGGCGAGAAGAATACTGGAGGTGAAACAGGTATCTGGAGGGTGGCCTGGGGTGGTGGGCGGCGTGGTGGTAGTGGACAGTAGTGTAAGTTGAGTGAGGTGGGGGTGGGAGAGAGGTGGTGAAGTGAAATGAGTGTGGTGAGAAGAGTGAGGTGGTGGACGAGTGGGGTGGTGGCGGCGTGGTGGTGAGTGGACAGTAGTGTGGGTTGGTGGTGGGGTGGGAAGAGGGGTGTGGTGGGAGTGGAGAAGGTGTGGTGGTGGTGGACGGGGTGGGGTGGTGGGCGGCGTGGTGGTGGTGGACGGTGAGTGTGGGTTGGTGGTGAGGGGGTGGAGGTGGGGGTGTGTGGGGTGGGAGGGGTGTGGTGGTGGTGGAGGGTGGGGTGATGGACAGGTGGGGTGGTGGGCGGCGTGGTGGTGGTGGACGGCAGTGTAAGTTGGTGGTGGGGGTGGGAGGTGGGGTGTGGTGGGGGTGGAGGAAGGGTGTGGTGGTAGGTGGACGGGGTGGGGTGGTGGGCGGCGTGGTGGTGAGTGGACAGTGAATGTGGTTGGTGGTGAGGGGTGGGAGGTGAGAGTGTGGTGAAGAGGTGGGAGGAAGGGGTGTGGTGGTGGTGGAGGGTGGGGTGGTGGACAGAGTGGGGTGGTGGGCGGCATGGTGGTAGTGGACAGTGGTGTGAGTTGGTGGTGGGGTGGGAGGTAGAGGTGTGGTGAAAGTAGAGGGGAGACTGGTGGTAGGTGGACAGAGGTGGGGTGGTGGAGTATGGAATTTGGGCCACCGAGATACAAGATAGTGTGAGTTACAGGGAGGTGACCGCTAACAAAGGCATAGACGGTAGACACGTGAGGCCTAGGAGTTCCCAGCACCGGGTCCCAACACACACAGGTCCCAACACACCGGTCCCAACACACACACAGGTCCCAACACACACAGGTCCCAACACACATACAGGTCCCCAACACACACACACACACACACACACAGGTCCCAACACACACACAGGTCCCAACACACACACAGGTCCCAACACACATACACAGGTCCCAACACACACACACACACACACACACACAGGTCCCAACACACACACAGGTCCCAACACACATACACAGGTCCCAACACACACACAGGTCCCCCAACACACACACACACACACAGGTCCCAACACACACACACACACACACACACACAGGGTCCCCAACACACACACACACACACAGGTCCCAACACACACACACACACACACACACGGTCCCAACACACACAGGTCCCAACACACACAGGTCCCCAACACACACACACAGGTCCCAACACACACACACACACAGGTCCCAACACACACACACAGGTCCCAACACACACACACACACACAGGTCCCCAACACACACACACACAGGTCCCAACACACACACACAGGTCCCAACACACACACACACAGTCCCCACACACACAGGTCCCAACACACACACACAGGTCCCCACACACACACACAGGTCCCAACACACACACCCAACACACACACAGGTCCCAACACACACACACACACACACAGGTCCCACACACACACACACAGGTCCCAACACACACACACACACAGGTCCCAACACACACACACACAGGTCCCCAACACACACACACAGTTCCAACACACACACACACACACACACACAGGTCCCAACACACACACACACAGGGTCCCAACACACACACACACAGGTCCCAACACACACACACACACACAGGTCCCAACACACACACACACAGGTCCCAACACACACACACACACAGGTCCCAACACACACACACACAGGTCCCA